GGAGCTCCGTTAACATCATGTACTATGATACCTTCTAGGGGCTCGGCTTGGACAAAAGGACTTGAACCCGGTAAGAACCCCGCTCTCAGGCTTCACTGGGGACTCCATTGAATCGAAAGGCAGCATAGTCCTCCCTGTGATTGTGGGCTCCGAGCCCTGCGTATCCAAGTTAAGTGTCGAATTCATAGTCGTATGCCTAACTTGTCCGCATAAGATCATCATGGGGAGGCCGGCCCTGGAGGACCTGAGGTGTGTGATATCCCAGGAGCATTTGTGCATGAAGTTCCCCACTCCGAATGGTCTCGGAGTTGCTAGGGGAGACCAACGGATGGCTAGGAGTTGCTATCTAAAAGCTTGCAAGCAAATCAGCCAGAAAGATTTGAGAGTCCATACTATCAACAACAAGGCCATGAAGTATGAGGAGGGTCAGCTCCGTGCTGAACCCACTTCGGAAGTGGAGGAAATCCAGATTGACCCCGAGAAGCCAGAGCGGAAGATCAAGATTGGAACTGGTCTCCCGGTCGGCTTGAGGAAAAAAATCATTCGGGTCTTAATCCTCTTCAGCGTTGTCTTTGCGTGGGGGCCAGAGGACATGCCCGACCTCAATCAAAGCATCGTTGTCCACCGGTTGGCGGTCGACCCATCGGCGAAACCCGTTCAGCAGAAGAGAAGACATCTCTCCATCGAGAGGAAGGAATTCGTGAAGAAGGAGGTCAACATGCTCCTGAGTATCGGACACATTCGGGAGGTCCTATACCCGGTGTGGCTGGCGAACGTGGTCCTAGCCCCGAAGCTGCCAACCTGGAGGATGTGCGTCGACTACACCGACCTCAACAAGGCGTGTCCTATGGATCCATTCCCATTACCATTACCTAACATCGACCAACTAGTCGATGGGACGGCCGGGTGTGAGCTCCTTAGCTTCATGGACGCCTTTCGAGGATACCGTCAGATTTTTATGCATGAGGACGACGCGAAGAAGACCTCGTTCGTTACCCCAGAGGGAATTTTTTGCTATCTTGTCATGGCCTTCGGGCTGAAGAATTCCGGGGCAACGTACATGAGGATGGTGGCCAAGGTATTCCGGAAGGTTCTCAGAAGGAACATGGAAGCATACGTCGACGATATGATCGTCAAGAGCACCCGGGCGGCCGACCACGCAGATGACTTGGCAGAGATTTTCGGGATCATGAAGGCAGTCCGACTGCGCCTGAACCCAAAGAAGTGTACTTTTGCTGTCCAGGGAGGCAAGTTCCTGGGATACATGGTCACACGGAGAGGGATTGAGCCAAATCCCGAGAAGGTGAGGGCAATACCTAACATGAAACCCCCGAGATCGGTGAAAGAAGTCCAGATTCTCACCGGTCGGCTGGCAGCCCTCGAGTTCTTCATGTCGAAGTCTGCCGAGAAATCATTACCTTTCTTCCAGGTCCTAAAGAAGCAAAATGGTTTCGTCTGGATTGATGAGTGCCAGCGAGCCTTCGAAGACCTGAAGAAATACCTCCTCTCCGAGCCTCTACTCAGCAAGCCGGAAAGGGGGGAGACGTTGATCCTGTACCTTGGGGTTTCTCAAGGCACGAACGCTCCGTGCTAGTTCACGAGGAGGAAGGCGTTCAACGTCCTGTCTACTATGTAAGCAAAACCCTCCAGAATGCCGAGCTCCGGTACACCCCACTCGAGAAGACGATCTATGCCGCTTACATCACCGCAAAGAAGTTGACACAATACTTCCAGGCGCATTCAATCTGAATCCTGTCGGAACAACCTCTAGGTGCAGCTCTGAGGGCGCCCGTCACAGCGCAAGTGGTGAAATGGTCGATGCTCCTCAGTCAGTATGAGGTCGACTTCCATCCTCGGACGTCCATCAAGGGCCAAGCTTTGGCCGATTTTCATCATGGAGTGCACGGCCCGAGAGGTGACAGAGAAACAACAGGAGAGCAATGAGCAGTGGTGGACCTTAGCAACAGACGGGTCGGCCGGAGCAAAGGGGTGTGGGGGCGGAATCGTCCTCATCTCCCCTGAGGGATTCCGGGCCTACTATGCCTACCCTTATCTTTTCAAAGTCTCCAACAATGAGGTGGAGTACGAGGCCTTATTGTCCGGACTGCGACTATCAGCCGCCATGGGAGCAGAATGGATAACAGTCAAATGTGACTCTCGGTTGGTCGTTTCACAGGTTAAAGGTGAGTTCAAAGCAAAGGAAGAGAGAATGACGAAGTACCGAGATGTTGTCTGAGAATTGCTCGGGCTGTTCAAGCAGGCAGAGTTGGTTTGCGTCCCGAGAAATCAAAACTCGGACGCTGATCTCCTCTCAAAGCTATCCCAGGGGTTGCCCGAACACATTTTGAGAATTGCACGCATTGAGGAGATGACAACCTCAAGCATAGCAGCCTCATCGTCCGTCAACGTCCTCCCCCTGCAACTGGTCACCTGGTGCTGGGTGGACGACCTCCTACGTTATATAGCCGATGGGACGTTGCCTGATAGAGAGGATGAAGCAAGACTGGTCCGCCGATGAGCTCCGGGCTACATCGTCTTGGACGGGAAGCTATACAAGAGGTCCTACAATGGGGCGTTGCTAAAGTGTTTGCGCCCGCATGAGGCAGACATGATCGTCTCCGAACTCCATGGGGGTGTGTGCTCTGCCCACCAAGGGGCATGCACAATTGCCAGGAAGGTCGTTCTCCAGGGGTACTTCTGGCCGACGATAATGCGAGACAGTGCCGATTATGCAAGGAGGTGCGAGACATGTCAGAAGTTCCAGAAGAGCCCTGGCCGGCTAGCGACGATGCACACACCGATCAGCACCGCCCTTCCATTTACGATATGGGGCGTCGACCTGGTCGGTCCCCTGCCAACTGGGTCAGGAAACCGGAGGTTCGTAATCGTCGCGGTGGACTACTTCACAAAGTGGGTCGAGGCTGAGCCGCTCGCCAGCATCACACATCTCCGGTGTAAGAAATTCATATGGAAGAATATTTTTTTCCGGTTCAGAGTTCCCGTCCAAATAATCTCTGACAACGGGAGGCAGTTTGACTGTGAGGCCTTCCGGCAGTTCTGCGTTGAGTGGGGGGTGGAATCCAGTCGAGTCGCGGTCTGCTACCCACAAGCGAATGGACAGGTGGAGAACATCAACCGAACGATCGTAGATGGATTGCAGAAAAAGTTAGAGGCACTCGGGACCGCTTGGGTAGAAGAGTTAAACAATATACTTTGGACCTTCAGGACAACCCCGAGGAAGGCGACCGGGGAGACCCCTTTCGCCTTGTGTTATGGCTTTGAGGCGCGGGCGCCGTTTGAGGCTGTAGTCCCTAGCCGGCGAGTCGAAGAGTTCGAACCAGCCGAAAACGAGGAGAGGCTCAGAGCCGAACTCCACCTCATTGAGGAAAGAAGAGACCGAGCCTTCATCAAAGCAGAGAACTATCGGCGCCAAGTCAAGGCATACCAGGACGGCCGAGCCCGGCCGCAGAGCTTCGACGTTGGTGATTACGTCTTGAGGCGTAGGAAGGCCAGCAAGTCGACGGAGGGAGGTAAGCTTTCCATCAAGTGGGAAGGCCCATACGTGATTGATGTTGTGGTCGGCCCCAGGACATACAAATTGAAGACGACAACAGGCCGGCTAGTAGACCGTGTCTGGAACGCCGAACACCTGATGAAGTTTTATCAGTAGAGAACTGAAGTTTCACCTTTTCTTTATGAACCCCTGTGCTTCGGGCATAGGATTACAATTTGTAATTCTTCATGTGGTCCGCCCACATTATGAATTCAATATACTTTACTAGCGATATTTTGTTTTCAAAAGAGGTCCGACCTCACTTAGCAATTAAGGGCGGAGGCAAAAAAAATGATACTATGCCCCCCCTCGGTGTTTGGCCGACCTCGGTCAGGCTCTTGAACTGAAAATGGCCTAGCGATTTTCAAGAATCCAAGCAATTTTCTAAAGTAAAGAGCTAACCGCAACAGTCGAGGCGATAGTAGGGCCGACCCCCGGGTTGGGAGCGCTCAAGGTGCCGACCTCCGGGTCTCTTTTTGCGTGCTCGCAACCCGACATCGCTGGCCAAGCAGCTCTCACTCTCGCCATCTCCGAGTGGCGGTGCGGGTCCGTTCTGGTGGATCATGCAGGGTCCGCCCCTGTTGTTTGGTTAACCCCGCGGGAGTAACCAGATTATTATTCCCCAAGTCCGGGCGAACTGGACGGGTCAAAGCGACAATAGGACTGACCCCGGGTCATGAATGTCGGGGTGCTGACCTAAGTGTCCTCCTCGAATGTTCAATGTCTGACCTTGCTGGCCGAACAAGTCGCATACTTGTTGATTCCGTATCAATAGCGAACAGATCACCTCTATCTGACCAGGAGGGGCGCGGATAGGCTTGGCAACACCAGCCTAATTGCCCCCCGGGAAGATAGAGAAGCCGGATCCCCGAATAAATTGCTTAAGTATTCGCAACATAAAGTATAGGAAAAGAAACGCATGAGTTCAAAATTAAACATCCAGTCAAAACACAACGTGTAGAAGTGGAAGACAAGAAAGATGCAAAATACAAAGTCATGGCAGGACCTACCCATCACCATCGACCTCGGGAATCTCATCTAAGACAGCGACCAAGTCTTGGCTGGACTCTTGAGCTCCCTCCAGCTGGCCAGATGCAAGGGGGGCCATGTCCTCCGAAGGTCGTGGAAAGAACCAGCACCATTCGTTCGAATTACCGGACTCCTCCTCCTGGCGGTAGACTCCTGGGGGCAGGAGGGCTATTGCTGCCTCAGGTTTTTTCATGCGGGCAGGCAGGCCTAGCGCGGATGGATGGAAGTCAAGGCCGAGACCCTCCAACTGATCATACAATTTAGGCTTAAATACATTTTTAGTCCCTGTAAATATGACACAATTTGTTTTAAGTCCCTGCAAAATATTTTTCTTGTTTTTCATCCCTGCAATATGCAACATTTTGTTTTTAGTCCATCTCAAATTCTGAAACTACTCTATTTACAAAAAAAGTATTGTCAGTTACATAAATCTACTAGAAATATTTAAATTCTTCCTTTTAAAACTTTTTTTAGGCTAATATGAGAGTTAAAACAGTGTAAAACCTAGGTATTCACATTTTAAAAATATATATTAAAAACCTTCTAAAAAATAAAAGTTAAACATGTTTTTAATAACATGACAAAGAACTAGAAGAGATCTATTAATCGGGGTTATTTCGAGGTCAAACGGAGATTGCTATCATTAGTGATGGACTAAAACGAAAATCATCCTAAATTGTAGGGACGAAAAACAAAAAAATAATTTTGCAGGGATGTAAAACAAAATGTGCTTTATTTGCAGAGACTAAAAACATATTTAAACCTACAATTTATGCTGCGTCAAGTACTTGCCGCTCTGAAAAGCGTACATAATTTCAAGAGCATGCCAGTACTCCCCCTCATCGGTCTTCAGCCACTTGTTCACTAAGTCAGATTCCTTCGCTTCCACCATGTCACATGTGGTTTTCTGGAATTCGTTGGAGGCCTTGAACTCGAGAATCGCTTTCCTGGACGCTTGCTTGGCCACTTCTTCACACTCTCTTGCATGTGAGAGCTGCAACTCGGAGAAAGCTTTCTCCCTAACCTGTAGGGCGGCTCTAACTTCATCAACCTCACGCTGAAGCCTCGCTTGAGAATGGTTGGCAGCCCAAAGTGCCCCGATGGTCTTAGCAAGTCCCTGCAAAACAAAACAAATAAAATGTGATGGGATCGGGGAATCAAATAGAGTATGCCGGAGACATGATCGACCACTCACCTCAACATGGGTCCGAATAGAACCCTCCATGAGAGGCTGAAACCCCTGGGAGGTCATACGTGCGAGGTCACCCGACGGTAAGACTGTTGAAGCATAATCCACGACCGGGAAGCCCTCATGCATAACCGAGGCACTCGGAGATGGGAAGGTGTAAGCAACTGTGTGCTGAGAGTCGCAGCTAACCCGCCCAGCCATCTTCTTACCAGCATCTTCATGCGCCTGCCCGACAGACTGGAATTTTGGGGTGACAGTCGCCCCCTCTAAGACATGCCCCTCTCGGCTCGGGGGGCTCCGTGCCCTTTACCCGCAGCGACCTGGGGGGCCACAGGAGAAATGGCTACGTGAGGCTCCACCTCCTCGTCATCAGACTCATCCAATTCGACCAGTAAGTCGACAATATTCCTCTTCTGCTTCTTCTTCGCTGGTGTGGCAGGCTGAGGCCCAAAGGTAACCCTCACCCTCCTCGGAATCTGTGTTACACTGATAGAGGATTAATTCTAGAGAGAAGGGAGAGCTAGAGAGATAAAGTGATATGTATAAATGAATTCCAATCAACCATTCAACCATCCCCCCTTACATGGCTCCCATAGGGAGTATTTATAGGAGAAAAGAGGGTTGGGCTTCCAGGCTTGGGCCTGGCTGGCCCAGTTACAATAAAAGACCAATAAATGGCTAATAAATAGTATCTAATCTATTTTAATGGGTACATATGAATAAATGTAGTGTACAAGGAAATAAATGCTATCTACTGAACATATGTGGGCCGCTGTCCGGGCCCAATAGTCGTGAGACCCGGGGGTCTGAGTCTATATACTCTATCAGGAGTCCCCCACTCTCTGAGTCGAGAGTACTCGAGGCGAAAGAGAGTAGAACTGTGTGCTGATCTGTCATCGTCCGGTGAGTAAACTGCTATCGTCGTCGAAGCGCCTCGCCCGGATTCCCAAGCCGATGATCCGATCCCACTTGTGAGCCCTGGCTGAGGCAACCCTGTGGGAAAATCCTCAGCCGAAGGTCGCAGGCCAGAGACCATCACCACCGGTCCTGAGGCCGGGGAGCTATGTATATGTACTGGCCGATGTGGCAGCTAAATATGTATGTGATATGATGATGTCGTCGGTGCGAGTGGCAATCCTTGCAAAAATTTTGAATTTTTGCTTCTTTGGCAACGGAGGTGCTAAGTCCCGTGCTCTCCCAGTCCCCCACTCCTTGAGGCGAGTGTAATGAGGTGAAGAGGAGTAGAGCAACGCATGTCTGATGATGTCTTCAACGGGGGGCCGAGGGTTGACACCTTTTGATCCACAATGGGGAGATGCCTCGTTAAAAACCTCATTAGGAAAAACCCTGTGGGAAAAAATCCTAATGAGGGAAAAAGAGTACATCGGATGCCCCCAGAACGAAACAAAAGGTGCGAGCCCTTCGGCCTAGAGGTGGAGCTGCAGCGGTGTCCGTCTGCCGAGGGGATGGCAGAGGCCGATCCATAGATGTGGGTAGCTCGTCATGATCAGTAGTCCTAGTCATCAAATAAAGATGACTAAGGGATGGGTCGCGCGACCGTCCATAATATGATGTCTGGTTCATCAAATAAAGATGACTAGAATATGAGGCCGATGGGCCGATGTGAGCTCCACGTCATCAAATAAAGATGACTGGGAGTGGTGGCCGAGAGGCATATATGAGAGCTCCACGTCGTCAAATAAAGACGAAGGGGCGATGTGTGGCCGAGGGGCCTGGATAAGAGCTCCACATCGTCAAATAAAGACGACAGGGCGATGTATGGCCGAGGGGCCTGCATAAGAGCTCCACGTCGTCAAATAAAGACGACGAGGCGAGATATGGCTCAGAGGCCTATAGATGAGTTCCTCGTCATCAAATATAGATGACAGAACGATATGTGGCCGATGGGCCTGTAGATGAGCTCTTCGTCATCAAACAAAGATGACAGAATAATATATGGCCGATGGGCCTGTAGATGAGCTCTTCATCATCAAATAAAGATGACAGAGCGGTATATGGCCGATGGGCCTGTAGATGAGCTCTTCGTCATCAAATAAAGATGACAGAATAATATATATGGCCGATGGGCCTGTAGATGAGATATGAGATCCATTAGTCTCTGAGCCGGAGACCACAAGATGTTTGCTAGATCCGAACATGAGGACGAGGCGTTGGACACCTGTCTGAATATGAGGGTGAGGCGCTGGGCGCCTGTCTGAATATGAGGAAGAGGCGTTGGACGCCTGTCTGAATGTGAGGACGAGGCGTTGGGCGCCTGTCTGAATATATGCGGACGAGGCGTTGGACGCCTGTCTGAATATGAGGACGAGGCGTTGGACGCCTGTCTGAATATGAGGACGGGGCGTGGGACGCCTGTCTGATGATACGATGACGAGGCAATGCTGAGCCGATCATCATATAGAGGCGACGGTCGCCATCCAGGAGGGGATGGCGAGCCCGATCGCTAACCCAAGACATTCGGCAATGAGAGGCCGGTCTTGGAGATAGGACATCACATCGTGGCCTAGGGGACGATCGTGATGTGAGGACGGCCGTGATAAGGAGCCGATCCAAAATAACAATGACGAGGCGATGATAAGCCGATCGCCATGTAGGGGCGATAGTCACCATCCAGGAAGGGATGGTGAGCTTGATCGCTAGCTCAACACACTCGGCGCTGATGAAGCCGGTGTTGAGATGGATCATCACGCCGAGGCCGGGGCGGCGGTCGTGATATAAGGATGGCGATAATGGGTAGCCGATCTGAATAATGATGACGAGGCAGAGATGAGCTGGTCGTCATGTAGAGGCGACAGTCATCATCCAGGAAGGGATGGGGAGCCCGATCGCTAGCTCAACACACTTGGCGCTGATAAAGCCGGTGTTGAGATAGGGCATCACGTCGAGGCCGGGGGGCCAATCGTGATGCGAGGTCGTCAGCACTATGAGGCCGAGCCAAACGTCCAAGCAACGGTCGCCATCCGATGAAGGAATGACTGAGACCGGTCTTGGGGAATATGATCACGTCGAGGCCGAGGGCCTGCCATGATCGGCACTGAGGGGTCGACCCAAAAATCCATGCAATGGTCGCCACCCAGTAAAGGAATGGCTAAGACCAGTCTTGATATAAGGTACCGCGCCTTGGCCGAGAGGCCGGCCGCGATGCGAGGATGACGACTATGATAAGCCGGTCCAATGTATGATGACGAGGCAATGATAGGCCAATCGCCATGTAGAGGCGACGGTTGCTATCCCGGAAGGGAATAGCAAGCCCAATCGCTAGATCAAGACACTCGGCGCTGAGGGAGCCGGTCTTGAGATAAAGCATTACGTCGTGGCCGAAGGGCCCGATCGTGATGTGAGGACGAAGATGCTGAGGAGCATGTCCGAGATATGATGACGAGGCAATGATAAGGCCGATCGTCATGTAGAGGCAACGGTCACCATCCAGGAAGGGACAGCGAGCCCGATTGCCAACTCAAGACGCTTGGCGATGAGAAGCCGGTCTTGAGAAGGAATAATCACACCAAGGCTGGGAGGCCGGTCGTGATGTGCGGATGGCGATGATGATGAGCCGATCTGAATAATGATGATGACGAGGCGGAGATGAGCCGATCGTCATGTAGAGGCGACGGTTGCTATCCCGGAAGGGAATAGCAAGCCCAGTCGCTAGCTCAAGACACTTGGCGCTAAGGGAGCCGGTCTTGAGCTAGATCATCACGTCGAGGCCGGGGGGGCGATCGTGATGTGCGGATGGCGATGATGATGAGCCGATCCGAAGATCCAAGCAACGGTCGCCATCCGGGAAGGGATGACAAAGACCGGTCTTGAGATAAGGTATCACGCCTTAGCCGAGAGGCCGGACGCGATGTAAGGACGACGGCGATAATGAGCCGGTCCAACATATGATGACGAGGCGATGTGAAGGCCGATCGTCATATAAAGGCGACGGTTGCTATCCCGGAAGGGAACAGCAAGCCCGGTTGCTAGCTCAAGACACTTGGTGCTGAGGGAGCCGGTCTTGAGCTGAATCATCACGTCGAGGCCGGGGGGCCGACCGTGATGTGCGGATGGCGATGATGATGAGCCGATCCGAAGATCTAAGCAACGGTCGCCATCCGAGAAGGGATGACTAAGACCGGTCTTGAGATAAGGTATCACGCCTTAGCCGAGAGGCCGGACGCGATGTGAGGACGACGTCGATAATGAGCCGGTCCAGCATATGATGACGAGGCGATGTGAAGGTCGGTCGTCATATAAAGGCGACGGTTGCTATCCCGGAAGGGAACAACAAGCCCGGTCGCTAGCTCAAGACACTTGGCGCTGAGGGAGCCGGTCTTGAGCTAGATCATCACGTCAAGGCCGGGGGCCCAACCGTGATCCGCGGATGGCGATGATGATGAGCCGATCCGAATAATGATGCCGAGGCGGAGATGATCCGATCGCCATGTAGAGGCAACGGTCACCATCCAGGAAGGGACGGCGAGCCCGTTTGCCAACTCAAGACACTTGGCGATGAGAAGCCGATCTTGAGAAGAAATAATCACGCCAAGGCCGGGAGGCCGGTCGTGATGTGCCGATGGCGATGATGATGAGCCCATCCGAATAATGATGACGAGGCGGAGATGAGCCGATCGTCATGTAGAGGCAACGGTCACCATCCAGGAAGGGACGGCGAGCCCGATTGCCAACTCAAGACACTTGGCGATGAGAAGCCGGTCTTGAGGAGAAATAATCACGCCAAGGCTGGGAGGCCGGTCGTGATGTGCGGATGGCGATGAGGAGCCGATCCGGATAATGATGACGAGGCGATGATGAAGCCGATCGTCATATAGAGGCAACGGTCACCATCCAGGAAGGGACGGCGATCCCGATTGCCAACTCAAGACACTTGGCAATGAGAAGCCGGTCTTGAGGAGAAATAATCACGCCAAGGCTGGGAGGCTGGTCGTGATGTGAGGATGGCGATGGGGAGCCGATCCGGATAATGATGACGAGGCGATGATGAAGCCGATCGTCATATAGAGGCAACGGTCACCATCCAGGAAGGGACGGCGAGCCCGATTGCCAACTCAAGACACTTGGCAATGAGAAACCGGTCTTGAGGAGAAATAATCACGCCAAGTCTGGGAGGCCGGTCGTGATGTGCGGATGGCGATGATGATGAGCCGATCCGGATAATGATGACGAGGCGATGATGAAGCCGATCGTCATGTAGAGGCAACGGTCACCATCCAGGAAGGGACGGCGAGCCCGATTGCCAACTCAAGACACTTGGCAATGAGAAGCCGGTCTTGAGGGGAAATAATCACGCCAAGGCTGGGAGGCCGGTCGTGATGTGCGGATGGCGATGATGATCAGCCGATCCGGATAATGATGACGAGGCGATGATGAAGCCGGTCGTCATATAAAAGTATGACGGCTTTGGGGAGGCCGTTCGTGAGATGATGGAGCAAGAGCTTCGGCATTGGGAGCCGGTCTTGAGATGAATAATAAGTTTGGGGAATTTATTTATTTTTATTGCTCGAGGCCGGCAAGTGCGCGGTCCGTCGGCTTCCCTCTTTTTTTTTTAGGGTGGCCGAAGGGTTACTGTCCCTTCGTCCATGTGCGGTAGTTTGTCCGCTACGCTTTTCGCGTGGATTAGTGCGAGGGAGTAAATACGCCCTCGGCTTGGTGTGTCAGTGGCATCTTTTTTGGCCTTTCCACGTCTATCGGCGACGAGGGACCGGACTAGGCATCGTTTTTTGACGGCCGCCCTTTGTGGTCCTGAGCGAAATTTTACTGACGGGTGGAGTTTTTGTAACCTCAGCCTTAATTCAGGCCTGTCGTCCTGCGGTTTCCGCGCGGACGATGCGGTATGCTTCTCCGTTTGAAGACGTTGGACCATGCACACAGGTCCTTCGTCCTGCATATCGCCGGCCGATTTGGGTGTTTCACCACTTGTGCCGATACGATATTGAGGTGCGTTGTCTATGCAACGGCTTTGTAGGCGCGTTGTGGATCGCAACGGCCCTGGGTGCGTTGTTTATTGCAACGGCTTTGGGTGCGTTGTTTATTGCAACGGCTTTAGATTGCGTTGTGTATTGCAACGGCTTTTGGGTGCATCGGTTATTGCGACGGCTTTAGATGGCGTTGTCTATTGCAACGGCTTTTGGATGACGCAATTAGTGTCTAGGGGAATGAGGTGTTTCGTTTACCGCTTTTAGGCATAATGCCGTGTGCGGCCGATGATGGCTCTCATTCTAGATATCCGGGTCATCAAATAAAGATGACCGGGAAAGGTCAAGGGACCCAAATATAATCCGAATCATCAAATAAAGATGTTCGGAAGGTTAAGGCTTTGGCCCGCACCAATTGGGGATTTCAATCCGCTAGCAATGGTGGTGAAGATAATAATAATAGTAGCAATTATTATTATTGTTTTCCTTTTTGATTAGTAGTAAAACTATATTTTTCTTTTTCTCTTTGGAATAGTAGTAAAACTATTTTTTCGGAATAGTAGTAAAACTATATTTATTTTTTATATAGTGGTAAAACTATTTTGCTCCATATTAAAAGCGTAAAATAGGAGGAAAAGTTTGTGGCACTTACTTGTATTTGGGTCGAAGCCTGCCCTGCTTAGAATTCCAGCAGAGATATATAATTGATTGGGCCTTTTCTTTGAGAATAAGCCCGAGTCTTTGAGATTAAACAGCCGGCCCATATATTAGTCCACTCCCCTTAGCATCTGCAAGCTCGTTCGCAGGGAGGAGCGTGAAACAGAGACAAGGAGATACTTCGCGTCGCTGGAGCCCATTGTGGACGAGGAGATCCCCGATGTCCCCACCTGAACCAACCCGGCTGTGCTAGGCGCTGCTAGGCTATGGAGCAAGGCTGCTGGTCCGCGGTTTGGCCGATGAGTTCCGGCCGTCGTGTTCTGGCCGTTGCGGTCCGGACAGGGTGGTCCCGTTTTTACCGATGCGGTTCGGTCCGGACGATGCGGTCCGGCCCGGGCGATGCGGTCGCTTGACAGGGTGGCCCTGTTATGGCCGATGCGGTGCCGGCTGAAGTGGTGTCGGCCGATGCGGTGCCGGCCGATGTGGTGCCGACCGATACGGTGCCGGAGATGTGGTGTCGGCCGATGCGGTGCGGGTGATGTGGTATCGGACGATGCGGTGCCGGGCGATGCGAAGCCAGACGATGCGGTGCCCCCCTTTTAGCAGGTGCGGTGCGCCGATGTGTTGGCGACCGATGCGGTTGCTGGAAGAGGGCGTTGCTGGCCGACGCAGTGCCGGCCGACGCAGTTGCTGGCCGGTGCAGTCTGGCCCATGTCGCTAGCTGATGCCGCTGACCGATGGTGCACACCTGGTGGAGACGATGGGCTGTTGGTGACCTCAAGTTGGGATGGACGAAGTGGCGTCCATAGCCGATGCGAGGCCCTTTGCCGAGGTGGTGCCCTGGGTACTGGTCATCACTTGGTGGAGACGGGGTTCTTTTTTCCGGAAGTGATCAACTCTACTGCCTTTATTCTGGCCGAGGAGATCTCTGGCTGAGAGGCCATCCCTTCCCCAACTAGGCCGAGGTGGCATTTTGCTTTAGCTGAGGCTTGCCGAAGGTCCCACCATCTCTTTGCTTGACTTTTTCCTTTGTTTTAGTATGTTGGGAGGGCCGTGCAGCGTGCAAGTGGTCTGGCCGATGTGCAGCAACTACGGCCCAGGCTGCTATTCCTTTCCTTTTGAATGTACGTAGTACATTATAAATGACAAGAGGGGATGACTCTTTTCCCAACCGAAGGCATACTTTGTCTCATTTAGCTGAGGTGTCAATTTTTTTTGAGAATATGGGAGCTATGGTGACATATGGCCGTAGGACCAATTTGCTCCTAATTTTATTGGAGGTGTAGTGGGTGGGAGGATCTCACTTGATATATTCTAGCTCTCAATGAAAGCACCAAATGATAGAGGATTAATTCTAGAGAGAAGGGAGAGCTAGAGAGATAAAGTGATATGTATAAATGAATTCCAATCAACCATTCAACCACCCCCCCTTACATGGCTCCCATAGGGAGTATTTATAGGAGAAAAGAGGGCTGGGCTTCCAGGCTTGGGCCTGGCTGGCCCAGTTACAATAAAAGACCAATAAATGGCTAATAAATAGTATCTAATCTATTTTAATGGGTACATATGAATAAATGTAGTGTACAAGGAAATAAATGCTATCTACTGAACATATGTGGGCCGCTGTCCGGGCCCAATAGTCGTGAGACCCGGGGGTCCGAGTCTATATACTCTATCATACACGGTCTGGGGGAGCTCCATGCTCTTTTTCCTTGGTGGCCGTGAAAGCTACACGAGCGATGAATGGCTGGGCTTCTTCGTCATCGTCATCGGATTCGGCACCGACAGTATGCTTCTCAGGCCTATCTGGCACATCTGCGGAAGAAAAATGTGAGGATAAGAAGGGTGAAATACAAAATAGCCAAACCTAAACTGAGGGAGTGACGATCACCTAAGTATGAGCTGATGGATCGGGGACCGCCTATAGACAACATCTCGATGGATGACTTGAGGTCAGGGGAGAGGGCGACCCGATCACACTTCCGGAGCCGCTCACCCCACTGAAACGGAGGTGACAGAAGGGTGGGGTCGGACACCCAGATCCACCTCTTCTTCCATCGGCTACCTGAGTCAAGGTAACACGGTCGGAATAGCTTGCTCACCGGCCTCTGGGAAACTGAGGCAAAAAGCTGGAGGCGTGCCACTGGAAGCAGCTAAAAAACAAATCGATCGTGGGAGTGAGGCCCACATCCTCACATCACGCCACAAAAGCTGCGACGAACATATGAGCCGCCGGAGCCAGTTGGCCCGGTGCCACACCCAAGAAGTGAAGAAATCAAACCAGAAAAGGATGCAGAGGCACAACCATCCCTAGCTCCAGAGAGCGGATATGGACCCCAAAGTAATGGACTGGGGGATCACTCAGTACCTCGGTAGCCTCCGGAGTTCTCAATGAACAATTGGCACCGATCAGGCTGTATGCAACGACAAGGTCCCCGACTTGGATATGATGGGGGAGGTTCGCTATCCCGCTATTATCGAGGCCCCACCAAAGATTCGGGTCCTCCCGAGCACCAGAATCATCATCAGAGTCTAACACGTCCACATGTTGTGCTTGTGCTATGCCTGGAACGCTCAGTTGCTGACCCTCAGAAGTAGCAATCTGTCTGGCTGGAGCTTCGACCTGATGTTCGGTAGCTTTTCCCGCATGCATACGTGGTCTGGGGCCGCGGCTGCCCGTATGGGTTTCATGGCCGCCCCCTGCTTTCCTTCAATGATGGCCGACAGCCTCGAGTCCGATGACTTGGAGAGGGGCTGAGCCTCAAATTGCATGGCGGAAGGCAAGTCTTGGCCATTGTTTTCATAGGGAGAGCGCTCGACGCCTCACATGATTCAGAAGAGGTAAGAAGACCTGCAAAGACAGACAAACAAACAAACTTGGAGGTTATACAATTTCAAAGAGATCAACACACATGAGGCACGATGAAGACCCCTGGCACCCAGATCCGGCCTAGCATGATCAACGCCTAAGTGGGTGGTATCTCGTACCACCGAGGCTTGCCTGGCCGATGGGGTGGGGTGGGGGGGGGGGTCCCAGGGGACTGCCCAACTCGCCGTTTAAGGATGCATGTCGGGCTCCTATCTGCATGGCCGCCGAGCAAACCCACTCAGCCGCCACCCCGTCCGGGTGGGGGGCGGCGTGGCCGACCCAAAGCACAGGCCGGGGACTGCTGGCCGGAATATAGGGCGTGGGCTAGCAGGCAGCCGCCAGCCTAATGGATGGTAGTGAGAACATTTTTTGGGCCTGCGTGTTTATGTGGCGCACAGGGAAGGAAGAAGACGGCGCAACCACCTTGAACCTGCCGCATGGAGGAAGAAGAACACCGGGCAACCGCCGGACAACGCGGGTCCCCAACGAACTAGAATTCCGACCCTCCAAGTCGCATTCTGGAGCGAGGATGCATGGTGACGGCTACTCGCAACCAGCCGCCTGAGGGGGTGGCCACGCTGGCTTGCAGGGATGCCCGCCGGCCTCCTGGGTGGCGTCGGCCATCGGGGCGGCCGAGTATTCCGGACTCCGGTCAAGCCGCCAGGTGACGAACAGAGGGCCCATCTCTGACCCACAAGCGTCGGTCAGCCTGGGGCCGGCTGCGGCGCTGGGTCGACGCGGGGAGGCGCACGCGTGCAGGGACCAAGAGAGAGAGAAGGAAAGAAAGGAAAGAGAAGAAAAGAAAGGAAAGAAAAGAAAAGGAAAGAAAAGGAAAAATAAAAAAATAATAGTAATAATAAAGTCCGAAAATAGTTATAAAATAATAATGAATTTCAGGAATTTTCGGAAGCTGACCTGGATTCTGAAGTCTGGAAGAAAACTGACTGCTGGAATGCTAGGATACCGGGAGAATTAATTTGGAGCCTTTTTAAAGCTGGGATCTTTAATTAGAATTGGGAAATCTCCATGAATTGTGGGATTGACAGAATCCACAATTATTGCTCTCTGGTATGTAAATATTTTTCAAATTAGCAGCTGACTTGGGCTACTCCCTATTAGCCGAGTCCACTACTCGACTAAGGGAGTGGGGGACTCGTGATGGGATTATCGGACTAGACCCAATGCCTAATCGGCCCAGGCCCCAAACATGGATTAGCAGGCCCTACCGGTGGACCCGGCAATCCGGATCTCAGGCCGGCCCAACTGATCAAATCCTTCAAAGAGCGCAAGTCTGACTGAGCGGAAGCCCAAGATGGCCTGCCTACCAGCCCAACCGGAAGCCCGCCTTCCAGCCTAGCTAGGAGCTTGCCTTCCAACCCAGCAGAAGCCTGCCGCCCAAGAAGCTCGAGCGTCCGACCCTCCAGCCAGGCCGACCCGCCAGCCAGCCAGGAGGCGTAACTGCCGACAATTAATGCGCCATTGATTATGTATTTAGTTCCTTATTAATGTTGTAATTAATTAGCCATTAGTATATTTGGCAGTTACCATTTGTAATCGCCTATAAAAGGCAAGTTCGATTCAAATAATAGACATGTTATTCTTGGCAACTAAAATTTCTGAGCAACTTTCCATTCTCGTATTATCTTCTTGATTCCTGTTCGAGTGTTCTTATGTAGCTTTCGAAAAAACCCACGAGCGTCCTATTTTGGACCAACAGAGATAATCTGTCCGCCTTCTATCCATTTTTTGGCTTGGCCAGGGCCATGTTATCAGCAAATGGGTCATCTTGTTCTTGAGCCTCCCAAATTCGCCTGCACTTTTGTTCCCCTGACATTTCCATATTGCTCCCATAATTCCCTTCTTTAGTCGTGCTATTGCCCATGCCCATCGTGGACTCCCTCCATCCTGGTCCTTCTGCTCCAACTCCCGTGCTATATCCTCCTTTTGTGGAATTCCCAGACCTGAGCTAGAGGAGCCTTCAATTAGCCATTTGTTCCCCCTGTATGACTAATCTTTCCCTCTCCATCAGCTCTAAGGTTCACCCCATACTTTTTTCAGTACTAGGTTATCCTCATATGTTAATGGGCAAAACTTATGAGAATGATCAACAATTCCACAAATAAAGCAAAAATTGGGTAGCTTCTCATATTTAAATTTTACCTAGTGGCCAATTCCTCCTTTCTTAAGAGTTGGTCCCTTTTTCATATGTTTTCCCACATCCATGCAGACCCTAACAATCAAATATGCTTCTCACTTTTCGTCAAATTGGTTTCCATCATAGCTAATAAATTTATCAATAAAATTACCAATCCTTCTAGCAATGCCTAAATTCATAAACAACCACATGCCGCTCTCTAAAACACGTTTCATATCCACAATATGATAGAAAGTAAAAAGATACCTTTTATCGCCAATTTCTTTTGTCGACACACCTTTTCCCGGTCTTCACAAAGAAGCATGAGTTCCTTGAGAACTGAAACTTAATCTTCCCATCACTCAAAAGTGTGTCAATGACCGGGAAGCTCGACCGCCTCTCCCCCATTGCCGGTTCTCCAAACTCGTCTTCATTCAAGTTCAACTCCTCAGAATCCCCATCGATTGCCATGTTCTTATATTGATTGACAATGTTTTCCATTGAAACTCCCCACTACTGGATCAATCGGAACTCTACGCCACGCTCAACGAGCACTACGCCTTTCTCACTGGAACGAACTGAGGCCGCCGCTGAAGAACATGAGCCTCAACCTCACGCTGCACTCCTTCGCTCAATCCTAGGAGACTTACCACGAACGCTCATCGTCAATCAACGACTGCGAAGATAACGAAACCCACTCGCATCAAACTTCCGCCTCCGACGATCGCTCTTAGACAGAAACGATAGTGGAGAGGAAAAACCCTAGTGGAGAGAGAAAAATCCCTTGAGCCCTTGTTAGAAATTTAGAATAATAAATTAATTAATTGAAAATTTCAATACAATTAAAAACACCTTTAATTTAGAAAGTTTAAACGCATATAAATGGTATTCTTAAAACGCATCCTTGCAGCTCCATTTTTGTTATTTTTCTCTCTCAAATTATGAGTTCTGAGTTCATTCACAATAGTTAGCCAACTCCGTTGTCTGCGAAATTAACTAACAGAGCAATTCAATCCCTTTCCGCTCCACTTTTCTCTCCCCGCCATGTCTTTCCTACGTCAAACAACCCGCTCCTCTCCAATTCTTCCCCAAATCAACGAAGCCCTAGCTTTCTTCCGTTTTGGGAATCCAAATTTCCACAGCATTTTCACAAGAATTTCACCATATCTGGCTCCGTTTTGTGAAAAATGCGTATACGGGAAGAAGGGAGCTTAAACGAACATCACAATGCACCTTCTTGGGGCTTTATTTCCATTCTGGTCTTCATTTTGGTTTCTCAGGTGGAGATTCAGGTGGCCCATGCCGGCCCTGACACGGGCAATCCGGCTGCCGTGCAGCTCTTCGCCCAGGCCGTCTATAATAAATTTAAGAATTTCAACTCCCTGTTTGACGATAGCGTCGCAAAAAAATTGCGTTATTGCGTCAACAATGTGTAAGCAGATTTACGTTTATATTCGCATGTCTATGCATAGTTTCCTCATGCATGTATGTTTGAAATGAGAAACTTAAAAATCAATAAGAACACTTATTCCACGATTTAGTTGAAATTTATGAAGTTCTGTCTTAAGCGAATGTATTGGCTGATTCCACTGATTTATGAAAAAACTAAATTTTAAATATAATTTATTAATCAGCTGCCAAGAATTACTTTGTTTTTTAAAGTACTTCAAATGCTATATACTACACCATATAAATTATGTTAGCCTCCATTTTTCTCTTAAAATCAGTTCTCACTTTTTAGTAATCATTTACTTGCATGACTGCATCAGTTTTATTTATTTATTTATTTATTTATTTATTTATTTATTTATTTATTTATTTATTTATTTATTTATTTATTTATTTATTTATTTATTTATTTATTTATTTATTTATTTATTTATTTATTTATAGTGTTTGGTTTTTATTTGATTTACTTCTCGTTAAAATCATCAACATGGGTAACCAGTTTGGACCGTTCAGCCTTGTTTCCCTTGTTCTTAGCGCATGTTTGGTAGACATAAGTCTCTATCTTCTAGCTTTTATATTATTTAAAAAGTCTTTAAAAACTCATAAATGTATGTTTGTCATCACATATTTTAAGAGCCTTTCTAAAAATTTAAAATCTTTTTCGAGAAGCTACACTCAGTAGCATCTCGGAAAAGTCTGTAGCTATTAGCATTAATTAATCATCACAAAAGCTTGTTATATCAAACATAACTAAATCTAACAATCATCTTTTTATCGAACAACTTCAACCTTGTGCTTTTAAGATCTTTGTAGTCACTAAAAGCTAATAGTCACTTAAAAACTCACAAAGTATCTTTTGAGTTAGTTGTGCCAAACATACCTTTGAAGCCATTGCATTTTATTATAAACAATTGTCTGAAATTGGCATTGTAGCAATCTCATTAAAGAAAACTGTCTGCATTATGCACTGTAGGGATGCTGATTGGAAAGCAGCATTTGATTTTTCGAAGGACACTGAGTTTCTTTCCAATTGCGTTAAACAGACAAAAGGTATACCTGATAATATGAAAGAGCTTACTTCAAATCTGTATTTCCTGAACTTGTTATCTGACATTATATTTCATTTTGTTGGATCAACAGGGGATATTATGCAGCGCTTGTGTACAGCTTCAGAAATAAAATTTTATGCATCAAGCATAGTTCTTGGCACTCTGGAAAACAGTGGGTCTGGCAGTAGTAACTATGTGAAACCAAACAAGAACTGTAATTTAACATCATGGGCTTCTGGTTGTGAGCCAGGTTGGGCTTGTAGTGTTGGAAAAGATGTGCAAGTTGACCTTAAAACAGCAAAGGAAATGCCCGTCAGAACTCTTGAATGTCAACCTTGTTGTGAAGGGTTCTTTTGTCCTCATGGTCTGACCTGCATGATACGTAAGTATCTTATGATGCACTCTTGATTGAAATGGGCATCAAGGAAAAATCTTTAGAAGAACAGTTATCATCAAGGTTTTCTTTCTTGGAATATCTTTAAAAAATCTTGGTAAAAGGTCAAATAGGCCCTTGAACTGACTTAAAGTGTTCAATTAGCCCCTTATATAGGAGGTTCTGCCCGGCCGTCGCCAATTGGAGCAGTTCCCGGTCGAATTTTTTGATGAAATTGTTTGAGCATCTTCTTCATTAAGTCTAGTTTACTCATACCAAATTTCAGCTAAAAATTCAACCGGGAAGGCAATCAAATGATTTTTTGAAGATAACTGCAAAGTTAAACAACACAGTACATTTCGAAAAATCATTTGACTGCCTTCCCGGTTGAATTTTTTGCTGAAATTTGGTATGAGTATACTAGACTTAATGAAGAAGATGCTCAAAAAATTTCATCAAAAAATTCCACCGGAAACCGCCCCAATTAGCGACGGCCGGACAGAACCTCCTATATAAGGGGCTAATTGAACACTTTAAGTCAGTTCAAGGGCCTATTTGACCCTTTAGCCAAAAAACTTTACCTTTTGTAGTCTGTATCTAATTATTGCCAAGTGTAGTATAAATAATGATTAAATATTTCATCAATTACAACTAATATTAGTCTGATTGGGTAAAGCTAAAAATGGCTTTTGCTGAAATTGCTGATGTTGTGGCTGAATCAATTGAACATGTTGAATTATCTAAAAAGTATACGTAGAAACATATATTGAAGTACATTGAAGAAAATTATATTTCAGCCAAAAAAGTAAGTTCTCCACCATTTATTTTAATTATCAGCAAATTCAGTAGAACAGTAACAGAACGACTAATTTGGGCTCTTAATTTGCATGTGTTTCTATTCTTGGAGAAGCATGTCCATTGGGCTCATATTGCCCTGTTGCAACTTTGAATAAAACGACGGGTGTATGTGATCCGTAAGTTCCTTTCCTAGAAAAAAAGTTGTTTTGTTTTTCAAATTATGTTCACATCATTAATAAATCCATATGGTCTGGTTATTGCTTTCAGGTACAGTTATCAACTGCCCACGGGAGAGACAAATCATACATGTGGTGGAGCAGATGTCTGGGTTAATTTTGTGAGTTCTGCCGATCTATTTTGTTCAGCGGGATTTTATTGTCCAAGTACTACCAAGAAAAATCCTTGCAGTCGTGGGTATATATTGATTGTTAACCCTTGCATTTCTAAGTCTATCATTTCAGTTTTTAAAATGCTTTTCTTGACTATTTGTCATTTACAGCCATTACTGCAGAGCTGGCTCAACAGAGCAAACAAGTAAGTCTATCTCTTGCTTTGTTATAGTGAAAATCAATAATCAAATTAAAAGAAAATAGCTCAGGGAGGTCCTTTAAGATGCTGTATTATGAGTTTTGGTTTAATATCAGCTTATCTAGTGCATTAGATATAACTGTAAAGCTTATCTTGCAGAATGTTACGAATTGGCTACTTGTGAACCTCAAACTGCCAATCAAAATATTACAGCATATGGCCTACTCTTTTTTGTAAGTCATTGTCTCACTCACTCTTAGTAAATCCTACTGTATAATGTCATCATCATTCATCATCAATCATCATCATTACCCCAGTGCCGCAAAGGCTCCCACCTTCGGTAGGGTAAGGGGGAGTCGGATGTACGCAGTCTTATCCTTGTACTAAAGTACAAAGAGACTGTTTCCGGATGACCCATAGTGAAAATTGCGTCGAGAATTGCATGGACTGACTGTTGCTACATAACAAAGAAGCGCAAACAGTTTAGTGAGCCATTTTGCTTTATTCCATCATATTCCCAAGCCAAAAAATAGTGAGTCTTTGGCTGCATTGCAAATGATGGAAACTCTTACTGTGTAATGTATATAAATAAATTATACAAAGTATATAGAGTATGATAATCGGTCGATATACTTCTTTGGAAATTGTTTCTTTAAAAGTTTATATATTCTTCGTTGGTGCACTTGATTGCCCCGTGTTTGGTGGAGTTTCTTATTCCTTTTGCTTCATTGACCATGTGCCATTGTTACTGCAGTCAATGGACATTTTTAGAAATCTTCGTCATTCAAATACCCTTCACTAAACTAAAACTTGTTGTTTGCTCTTTAAAAAGTGTATTACAAGTCTCCTAGATCTTGTGTAAATCAGTAAATGTTGTTAGACTCTGTTCAATCTAAACATGCTTGTATCATATAAACGTATTTGGATTATTAAAAATTTAAAATGCTGAAATGTAAATCGCAAGATCTAACTGGAGGTCATAGTTGTTGTTGATTGCATAATTTCTTATGTTTTTTTGCAGAATGATTTCTTATACTTTTACTCCAAAAAATAGATGATGCATCTCAAACTTAATTGGAATAGTGTGAGAACCTTTTTTTATATATCTACTGTGATGGATTTTAATATTATCTAAAACCAGACATTATTATTAATATATGCCTAATTACCATTTTATCTGTTAATTAGGCTGGAATCATACTTGTGCTTCTCATCATATACAATTGGTCTGACCAAGTACTGAGCACTAGAGAGAAAAAACAAGCTCAGTCCAGGGAAGCAGCAGCAAGAAGTGCACGTGAAACAGCACAAGCACGTGAAAAATGGAAATCTGCAAAGGATGTTGCTAAAAAGCATGCAAGTGGACTTCAGTCGTCTTTATCACGAACATTTTCTCGAAAAAAGTCCTCAGTGACAGAACAGAGCAGTGGAAAGGATGCTGCCTTGCCACCTATGCCCTCTGGTATGTCTCAAGCAAAAGCTAAGAAGCAAAGCAATCTCACAAAAATGATGCGTGAACTTGAAGAGAACCCTGATGGTCATGAGGGTTTTAATGTGGAGATAGGTGATAAAAATTTAAAGAAGCATAAGACTAAGCAATTGCATACTCGCAGCCAAATCTTTAGATATGCATATGGTGAAATTGAGAAAGAAAAGGCACTGCAGGAGCAGAACAAGAATATGACCTTTTCTGGTGTCATTTCAATGGCTAGCGAGTTTGAAACTGTGGGTAGACCTCCCATTGAGGTTGTTTTCAAAGACTTGACACTTACTTTAAAGGGTAAAAAGAAACATTTGTTGAGGTGTGTGTCGGGCAAGTTGTCGCCCGGTCGTGTTTCTGCTGTCATGGGTCCTTCAGGTGCTGGCAAGACAACATTTTTATCTGCCTTGACCGGAAAAGCTACAGGTTGTACCATGAGTGGTTTGATTCTTATAAATGGAAAGGCTGAAAGTATGCAGTCATACAAGAAAATAATTGGCTTTGTCCCTCAAGATGATATAGTGCATGGTAACTTGACAGTCGAAGAAAATCTCTGGTTTAGTGCAAGGTGCAGGTAAATATGTTGCCTCAATTTAGTCCTTGTGTATCCATCTAAATGAATACTTTGAGTAGGACTCTCTAAATCCCCTTTACCAACCCTGCCAATCGTTTGCAATTGCATTCATGATTGAATTGGGTAACTGAATGGGCTGTAAATGCACTTAGTCCAGTCAAACTAAAAAGATGGAATTATGTAATGAACTAGTTCCACATATGGTTAAACTAGTTTGATTGTTGATTCTCATTCTTTATATAAAATATTGTTGCTAATTTGATTTGAATTCGCTTTAATGGTCTTAAGTTATTTTATTTATAGATTGCCAGCAGATCTTGCAAAACCAGAAAAGGTTTTAGTTGTTGAGAGAGTGATAGAAGCCCTTGGATTGCAGAATGTAAGAGATTCTATTGTGGGAACAGTGGAGAAGCGAGGCATATCTGGGGGCCAGAGGAAGCGAGTTAATGTGGGGTTGGAAATGGTTATGGAGCCATCTTTATTGATTTTAGATGAACCAACTACTGGCTTGGACAGCTCTTCTTCTCAGTTGTTACTTAGAGCACTTCGCCGAGAAGCTCTTGAAGGAGTAAATATATGCATGGTTCTTCACCAACCGAGGTAGTTATCCTAAATTATCCCCTCTTAAATTTAAACTAGTTTTAACTTTTAGCATCTTTTCTCTCTCCACCCCGTCTTACTTTTTTACTCAATGGAATTGTACTATGGGAAAATTCCACACATAGGACTTAAACATATTTCCACAAATTGGATAAGTACGGAGTAAAACTTACCAGACATTAATAAGATAATGCGACCAAAATATACCCTCAACCTTACCCATATTACACTCACACTCGCTACCGCTTTGATTCACTGCAGAAGGAAAATGTACTAACCGCTGCCGCCTGCAACAGACCACTTGTTAGTGAGTTACTATTTACTAAACCTAGCTATTGAACTGGAGACGATAGTGAGTACCCAAGGTCAGTTGGTGGTCAGTGAACTATGGACACCAACCAGCAAAGTGAGCAAACCAGTGGTGGTGTTCAGGTGGTCACTGGTCAGTGGCACAAACTGACCCCCTTTTCAGTGACTCCATCACTCTCCGCGGTGGTGGTCAGTGGCCTGGACATCTTGGGTTGATTTATAAAAATTAATAGGAATAAAGTTTAGGGAAAATAACTTTAAATAATACCAACTATCACTCATCAACCAATAATAATACATACCTTAAAAATGTTTTTTAATAATACCAACTACTGTAATGTAAAACAAAAATAATATGGAGTCAACATTTAACAAAAGCCCAGTCATTTAAAACATCAAAAACTAATAGCAAACCATCAAATAAATGAAATTCGGAAATACAACCACTTATTTAATATTTTAATATTAGTTTTTGGTGAAATAAATGGCTAAATCTTTGGTGGAAAATGCTAGATATCACTTTTGGTCTATATTTAAATTTTAAATAGTTGGTATTATTACAATTTATTTCCAAAGTACATATTATTCTTAGTTCATGGAAGATAGTTTGTATTATTTAAAGTTATTTTCCCTACAGTTTATATTAGGTAGCAATTTTCTTGTCTCTATCATTTAAGTAAGGCTCCATAGGTTCTAGGATAACTAGAAAGTATAAGTGGAACAATATTTTTCATTGGGCTAATTGTTAATATCCTTGTTCAGCTACACATTGTTCAGGATGTTTGATGATTTTATACTTCTAGCAAAGGGCGGTCTAACTGTATATCATGGACCTGTGAAGAAAGTTGAGGAATACTTTGCAGGACTTGGTATCCATGTCCCTGAACGTGTTAATCCTCCGGATTACTTCATTGACATTTTAGAGGGAATAGTGAAGCTAAGTCCAAGCATAGGAGTGAACTACAAAGAGCTTCCTCTCAGATGGATGCTTCATAATGGCTATCCCGTACCACCAGAGATGTTGGATTCTGCTGGAATGGCAGCTTCGGTCGGAGAAAATTCAGCTCATGGAGGAAATCCTGCTGCTGCAGGACCTGATGGAACATTTGCAGGGGATCTGTGGCAGGACATGAAATCCAATGTTGAACAGAAAAAGGACCAAATGCAGCATAATTTTTTAAGCTCAAAGGATTTGTCCAATCGGGTCACACCGGGTTTAATAATGCAGCTTAAATATTTTCTTGGAAGGTATTGCTTGATTTCCTGCATAATACAAATTATAATGTTCCTTGAATACAATATTTAATTTGGTATATAATAATAGGGAGAAGGCACATATGCTCCGCTGTGTCAGGGAATAAATATACCCCCAACTTTATTTTGGAACAATTCACACAAAAATTGTAAAGTTGGAACAGATATACCTATGATTATATGTAAGGCTGTGAGAGAACATATATATACTCCTGAACTATATATGAGAAAACATATACCCCTCAACTATTTGAACACAAGGCTATGTTTGTTCCAACTTGACAACTTTTCCCTATAATTTTTCCTATAGAAATTTAAGCGGCATACTTTTCCTCTGACAAGTAGTTTAAGGGTATATTTGTTCCGTCTCTGTATAATAATATAGAAAAAATAAATGTGAAGTTTAACTAAGAACTCAGGTATTCATCAGACACAGATCACATCCTTTGTTGAGTATGCCCCACAGCATCAGGTGTCTACTGACTTCGTGTCTAGTATATGTATGAGTTAGGCCCAATTTAGCAAGTATCAAACTGGTTTGTGTGATTACTGCAAACTTGATGGTCTGGGGCAGCCTGTCTGGGGTTTGATTTGGGCCCACTTGTCCACATTCATAGTTGTCTAGCCAGATTTGGTTTGAGGTAAAGCTTACTCCTGTAGAATCTTTTTTGGGGTGAGTTATTCCCAATTAACATTATCAATGCTCGAGTGAAGTCTTTCAATTTATTGATTCCGTGCTCTTTCCTGGAAATCATACTACGGTGTCCATTTATAACAAGTTATCAAGATCAACTTCACAAATCATGACTTTTGCCAATTACACAAAATGCCCCCACAATGCAGTATAAATTTGATTTGAAGAGAGAAAGGACCTGCTAAGTGGCTAATATTCAGATCCCCTGAAAATGTTTTTACATTTCGTCCAGGATCGGTAAGCAGAGATTGCGAGACGCTAGGATACAGGCAGTAGATTATCTTATCCTCTTACTTGCTGGGATCTGTTTAGGAACACTTGCTAAAGTGAGTGATGAAACTTTTGGGTCCTTGGGATATCTTTATACTGTCATTGCTGTCTGTAAGTAAAACACCTTCTAGTTCTTTTGCACTTTAATGAATTTGTAGCTGCCCTCCCACCTACCCTTATTTTGGATGGGTTTATTCTCATCTGCTGAGATTCCTATTTTTGTTTTAGCCTTGCTCAGCAAGATTGCAGCATTGAGATCATTTTCTCAGGACAAAGTTTACTACTGGAGAGAGAGTGGGTCTGGCATGAGCAGCTTGGCTTATTTTCTAGCGAAGGATACAATTGACCATTTCAATACAATTGTAAAGCCAGCAGTGTATCTATCAATGTTCTACTTCTTCAACAATCCTAGATCCACCATCCTGGATAACTATGTTGTCCTGATCTGTCTCATATATTGTGTGACTGGAATAGCTTATGCACTTGCCATTTACTTGACCCCTGGTCAAGCCCAACTGGTAAGCATCTTGGCTTTATAAAAATGTCACCTTGCACCTGTTTAAATGTTTGACTATAATTTATCCACAAGAATCAATTTTTCATTTTGATTTTATTCATTTTGTTTGTTTCAGTGGTCGGTTTTGCTTCCAGTAGTGTTGACTCTTGTAGCAAACCAGGATGGAGATGCATTTGTGATGAGATTAGGGGATTTTTGCTACACCAAGTGGGCTTTAGAATCATTTTTGATAGCAAATGCTAAAAGGTTAAAACCTTTGGATCTAACCTTTGCCTTACCACATTTTATCCACACTTGTATATTTTCTAGCAAATATTCCTTCCTTCACAGAAGAGGCTCTACCATAAACGGGGAGGGTGAAACCTTAAGTGCTTCAGCGCCACTGAGTATTTGCTATGTGTGTGATTTGTGGGGTCATTTTAAAACTCACAATGGCCCCCACAAATCACGCACAAGGCAAACATTTCAATGCTCTATGAGGACTAAGCTTTTTTGCCCGTGACTAATAATTCATTAAACTAGGCACTGAAGCCCAAAGTTTTAACTTGTTAACAGCATCTAAATTTCATCATGATAAAGAAAACCATAGACCTCAGTTATTGTTGACTTCTTAGATTCTGCTTGGTAAGGTTAAACTCTGGATGATGACTGACATTGCTGAAATCATTGTTGAATGGGCTGAGTTTTCATTAAAATATTTTAAAATAAAATAAAAATAAAAATTTAGAAAATTACTCTAAAAATGTCATTTCCTTTCATTCAAGCAACTAAACTAAAAATAGTAACTTATGTATGCATCTCTCTCTCTCTCTCTCTCTTAATATTAGCTGATTCATCCAACAGAAAAGTCAGGTTAGTAGTTTGTGTTTGGTAGAAAATATGACTGATAAGACCAGTTATGATTTAGGAGTAAAGTATGACTGATAAGACCAGTTATGATTTAGGAGTAAAGTTATCCTACCAAACCCCAGGCACGTAGACTGCTGCCTCTGGAAGGATAAATAGAATGCTAGGGATGATTGACTTACAAGGCCGTGTCTTAATACTTTTTGTCTTTCTTTTAATTACGGAAATCGATCAGGTACTACGGAGTGTGGCTGATCACAAGGTGTAACTCCTTAAAACAAAGAGGTTATGGTCTTGAAGATTGGTATCCTTGTTTAGTATACCTCATCCTTACCGGCATAGCCAGCCGTGGCTTAGCCTTCTTCTGTTTGATCACCTTCCAGAAAAAATAAATCTTTGTCGCTGTATGTATCTTGCTTGGGTGGTTCAGTTATCCTCAGCGTCAGTATGCAAGAATGGACTAATAGTGGCTGACTGCCCGGAGTGGTTTGCTCTGTGAACATGTTAGATCAGCAAATGAACTGTGGATGGAAACAGACATGAACGTTCACATTGATGTGGAGATGTAGGAATCTTAGTGTCGGGACACCAGAGAATTTGGTGAAGCCCGAGACACATACACGATACACCATCAAGTTAGATCTACAGAACTCTGAACTTTGTTGTACATTTGTGGCTATTAGTCTTTTGTGTTTTTGTAACTAAAGTAATCAGACCTAGAAGATTAGTAAGTACTACCGAGGTTGGTAGGGTCAAGCGCTTCTGTAGAAGTCCATATTATTTGATTCGCATGGCAGTATCAAATGTACTATGTATATTTGGAAGTTGCAATCTTGTCGCTTAGATTGTAATGATAAAATAGTATTTTCATGTTGCGGGATTACACTTATGCTTTGTTTGGACAGGGTGTGGAAGAGTGTTAGTTTGAACACATGCAGGAAGTATTAAGAAGTGTTGTTGCTAAGTATCAACACTTCTTTAAAAGAAGGTTAAATTGTTGTTTGAGGAATAAATTGGAACCCTCCCAAGTCCTAACACTTCCATTCTGCAGTTTCATATCACCCCAATTTAGGGTGTTATTGAGTGTTAGAAAATTTTAGACTTCTTCCCCTTCCAAAATTTTTTCTGTAAGATTTCTGCAATTTCTGGGAATGATGGTTTTAATTTTTTTTCCTTCACTTTTTCTTGTTTTACTTTTTGAAAATGCAGTTTGCCCTGCTTTATCGTCTTCAAGTTTCCTTTTATCTGTGTATGGTATACATAACATTATAACAGTGCAACTGGGTCGGGTCGGGGTGGGGGAGGTACGGTACTGGTACACAAAATGTGGGAGTCGTGGGACTAGACTGGCCGATTCTTATCCCCAACGGTTTTTTATAAATTAAGGTGCTGGGGCTGGATTGTGAAGAAATGGGTGTTATATTATTTTTTGTAATGTTTATACTTGTTCCATATTTCATAATGCACTGTTTTAATACTTTTAATAGATTAAAATTCATAACTAATACTCCGTATTTTATTAATTCTTACCTAACCTCTTATAGTCTTATATGACTTATACCCTAATCCTATAAATATCTCGCCATACATTCATATTTCCATTCCTACATTCACATGATATGTCTTACAGTTCATTTCTTAACTTTCCACTTCAATAGAATATGATATCCATATACGGTTTAGTAGCATATAAAATCTCAGTATTCCATCATTAATGAAATCCTTCAAATTCATTTTGTATGCAAAATGTCTTCATTGCATGAAAATAAGTAATTTTGACATAAATATTATGTACTACTAAAAGTAGGACGTGTGAATGCCGTGAAATAAGTGATTGAACAAATCTTATATCTAGAAACTTCCAAATGTATATTACTAATATACATATACTAATACCCAATGACCCTGGCACCCCAATGACCTACAGGCTACAGTCCGTAACTTTGGTACCCAATACTATACCCTGCCTCCTAGTGAGCTTCGGCCCAGTCACCTGCAACTATAGTGATCTCACTCACGCCCTAAGAGATCATGATAGAGACAATGATATACCTAGGCTGCGGCGGCGCCGCCGCCGGTTGTGGTGGGCAAGTTGAGGCGGCAGGAAACATCTGCCTTCAGCGCTGCATCGGTTTGAGCCGATCGTGGACAACCGATGGGGGATTATGGTTGTTTTTATATTTATATTTAGGAATGTTTTGGTCTTTTCATATTCAGGAAGTCTTTTTTATTCAAATTGGAATGCAGTCTTATATTTGCATCCGGAAACAGTCTCCTTGTGTTTTAGTACAGGGATAAGACTGCGTACATCCGACCCTCCTTATCTCACCGTAGGTGGAAGCCTTTGCGGCGCTGGGGTAAATGAAAATGATGATGATGATGACTAACTCATAAGTAAAATTTATGCCAAATGACTATCTTTGTGATGTAAAGAAACAAATAATAGAAAGTATAATTTTAAGAGTTGCACCATGTAATGTATCATATCAAATGATGATGTTCTAGTCCCAAGCCCCGTGGGCCGTGGAGCTAGTTCTAGGGTGAGTTGTACCGAGAATCTGAGAATACAAGGAATTAATCAGTTAAGATTGATTCCTTATGCATGGTAATGTATATAGATGATAATGAAAACCTCAATAATTCAAATTACATTCTCACGAATTTAAGCTTTTGAGATGAGTTTTTGGGAGCAGAATTAGTAAGGGAACTTGAAATTGCTCTAACATAAAAAAGGATATAGAGCCCACGTGTGAGGGTACGTAATTGTTGCAATAAAACAAATTTTGTTGCATATGAAAAGAAAAACACTCGTAGTAAGATGCTTAAATTGGTCTGGCATGCAGTACACCTGTAGAACACTATAATTACATAAACTTTTTTTGGTGATTGAAAATAAAGTCAAAGCCGGGGGAGGGAAAGCGACAATGACACACAGACATGCATAGACCTACACTGAAGAAGGGGTTCCAAATGTAAGTGACAAATGGTCATACTAGTACGTGATACCACATTTAAATTATTTTGGAGTAGAATAGGATGATAGGATATCCATCACTAGGAAACTAAGTAAGGGTCTAACACTTAAGTGGGGAGTAGTATTCATGTATTGTGTTGATTCTACCTTATCCAAGGTATCATACATTTGTCTGATCCACATGAACCAATCAGGGCCGGCCCTGGACAAGGGCAGGCCGGGCTTGTGCCCCGGGCCCAACATTTACAGGGGCCCATAATTATATATAAATGGATAAATATAGAGAGGACAATTCATACCAGACCGAGGTCATTTGGGGCGCTTTATGGAGGAATTTTTTTATGAAACTTTTTTGGAGTATTTTTCATCAAGTGTAAATTACATTCACAACATTTTAGTTTAAAAATTAACCGGGAAGTCAGTTAAATAAAATATTGAAACACACTGCGCTTTGTGTATATAAATAATGCGCACTATCTTTCAATAATTTATTTAACTAGACTTTCAGGTTAAATTTTAATCTGAAACTTTGGGGAGATATTATAGATTTCATGAAGAATATATTTAAAAAATTTCATGAAAAAATTCTATCGGGAAGGGCCTCAAATGTCCCCGGTCTTACATCATTTCCCGTTAGGCAGGCCTAATTTCAAGGTTTCATCTTTGGACTTTAATTCGTTTTGCTCAGCAATCAATGTTACGATTAGGCAAAGACAAACGATAAATTAAGAGCAAGAACACAAGAATTAACGTGGTTCACGCAATCGGGGTGATTACGCTAGTCCACGGCGAACGAGAGAGAGTATGTATTATTATCAGCGTCCCAAGAGGTTTACAAGTACATAAGAGTCGTTTAAATAGGTTTAGGAAAACCTAAACTGAGATTAGAGCCGCAGGCCCAAAATTAAGCCTGTTTTTAAAATTCCCGTCGACTGACCCGGTCGGGTCTCTTATTTGACCCGGTCGGATCTCCTTCACAGAACACAAACCCGGTAGAAACCAGGTCGGGTTTCCAAAACAGAAGGCTTCTGCCTTGCTGACCCGGTCGGGTCCCTTCCCTGACCCGGTCGGGTCTCACGTCCAGTGAGCTCCCAGATCTCTGCTTCAACATACCCGGTCGGGTCCTTTATCTGACCCGGTCGGGTATCAGTTCTGAAACTTTGAACAAGGCTCCATCTTCAACAATCTCCCACTTGGAGGCTTGGTCAACAATCATCTGCCATCCAAGAACATGTATCTTCTGAAAAACCCCTGATCTCTCTCTCTTTCTCTTTCTCTTTCTCTCTCGTCCGCGCCTTCTCATCAAGTATCTGGAAGGCCCGTTGAAGCCATGCATAGCTTCAACTTCTCGGTTGTCACTGCCTTGGTAAGCATGTCTGCTGGATTCTTCGTACCAAGGATCTTCTTCAAATTTATAGTACCATCTTCAATCAACTCCAGGATGAAATGATACCGCATCTTGATGTGTTTCGTTCTGCTATGAAACACCGGATTCTTCGCGAGATGAATAGCACTCTGGTTGTCACAGTACAGACCACAATCCCCCTGTTTCATGCCCAACTCCGAAAGAAAGTTCTTCAACCAAATCATCTCCTTGGCCGCTTCAGCAATAGCCATATATTCTGCTTCTGTGGTTGAAAGAGCTATACTCTTTTGTAATCTGGACATCCAACTGATTGCCGTACCTCCAATAGTGAATATGTAACCCGTAGTGCTCTTCCCGGAATCATGACAGCCCCCCAAATCAGCATCTGCAAAACCTTCTAGAATTGCCCCATTCCTCTTGAAACAAAGAGCAGTTCTAGAGGTGCCTTTCAAGTAGCGTAGCAGCCACTTGACCCCTTCCCAATGTTCCTTCCCTGGATTTGACATAAACCTGCTAACAACTCCCACTGCATGAGCAATGTCTGGCTTTGTTGACACCATCGCATACATCAAACTGCCAACTGCTGATGCATAAGGAACTTTAGCCATCTCATCTTTGTCTTTATCGGTCTTCGGAGACTGCTGCTTGGAGAGTTTCAACTGACTCCCTAACGGTGTACTCCTTGGCTTGGCATCCGTCATTCTGAACTTCTCAAGGACCTTCTGAATGTACTTCTGCTGTGAAAGCTTTAAAGTACCTTCCATCTTGTCTCTGACTATGCTCATCCCAAGAATCTGTCTCGCCTCCCCTAAATCCTTCATCTCAAATTCTTCAGACAACTTCTTCTTGAGCTTGTTGATCTCCTGCATGTTTGCTCCAGCCACCAACATGTCATCAACATACAAAAGAAGAATAATGTATGAAGACTCGAATTTCTTCAAGTAACAGCAATGGTCCATCTTGCATCTAGTGTACCCATTCCGCTGCATAAAACTGTCAAACTTCAAGTACCACTGTCTAGGAGCTTGCTTCAGCCCGTATAGACTCTTCTTGAGTTTGCACACCATCTTCTCTTTACCACTCACTGGGAAACCTGCTGGTTGGGCCATGTAAATGTCTTCTTCAAGGTCACCATGAAGAAAAGCAGTCTTCACATCCAGCTGCTCCAAATGCAAATTTTCAGCAGCAACGATACCAAGGATCAACCTGATAGTAGTCATCTTCACAACCGGGGAGAAGATTTCATTGTAATCAACCCCCTTCTTCTGTTGGAACCCCTTGACAACTAGCCTTGCCTTGTATCTTTTGCTCCCATCAGCTTCATCTTTGATTCTGAACACCCACTTGTTCTCCAAAGCTTTCTTTCCCGGTGGTAGCTTGACTAAGGACCAAGTTTGGTTCTTCTCAAGCGAATCTAACTCATCCTCCATGGCATTCTTCCACTGTATGGAATCTTTCATGGTCAGCGCCTCTGAGTAAGATTCTGGTTCTCCATTCTAGGTCAGCAACAAATAATTTGCTGAAGGAGAATATCTGTT